TCAGTCCTTTCAATGAATATTCAGGACAGATTTCCTTTAGGATGGACTGGTTTGATCTCCTTGCAGTCCAAGAGACTCTCAAATGTCTTTTCCAAGACTACAGTTCAAAAGCATCAGTTCTTCAGTACTGAGCTTTCCTTATAGTCCAACTCTCACATCCATACATGCAGGTCAATAAACAACAGTTAGAACTGGACATGGAACAACAGACTGTTTCCAAATCGGGAAAAGGGTATGCAAGACTGTATATTGTCACCCTGCTTATTTAACATATATGCAGGGTACATCATGCAAAATGAAGGTCTGGATGAAGCAGAAGCTGGAATCAAGATTGCTGGGAGAAATATCAATAACCTCAGATATGCATATGACACGACCCTTATGGCAGAAAGTGAAGAACTAAGGAACGTCTTGATTAAAGTGAAAGAGAGTGAAAAATTTGACTTAAAACTCAACATTCAGAAAACAAAGATCATGGCATCAGGTCCATCACTTCATGCAAATAGATGGGGAAACAATGGAAACAGTGAGAAACTTTATTTTCTGGGGCTCCAAAATCACAGCAGATGGTGACTGCAGTCATGAAATTAAAAGATGCTTGCTCCTTGGAAGAAAAGTTATGACCAACCTAGACAGCATATTAAAAAGCAGTAACATTATTTTACCAACAGAGGTCCTTCTAGTCAAAGCTATGGTTTATCCAGTAGTCATGTTTGGATGTGAAATTTGGACTATATAGAAATCTGAGCACTGGAGAATTGAAGCTTTTGAACTGTGGTCTTAGAGAAGACTTTTGAGAGTCTCTTGGACAGCACGGAGTTCAAACCAGTGAATCCTAAAGGAAATCAGTCCTGCATGTTCATTGGAAGGACTGATGCTGAAGCCGAATCTCCAATACTTTGGCTACCTGAACAGAGAACTGACTCATTAGAAAAAAAAAAAAAAAAAACCCTGGTGCTGGGAAAGATTGAAGGCTGGAGGAGATTGGGATTACAGCAAATGAGATGTTTGGATGGCATCACCGACACAATGGACATGAGTTTGAGTAGGCTCTGGGAGTTGGTGATGGACAGGGAATCCTGGCGTGCTGCAGTCTATGGGGTTGCAAAGAGTCAGACACGACTGAGTGACTGAACTGAACTGAACTGATCATTACATATATTTTTTTAGCTCCAGAGTTTTGCTTGATTCTTTATTATTTTTGTTGACCTTATCATTTTGTTTATGTGTTGCTTTCCTGATTTTGTTAAATTGTCTCTCTGTGTTCTCTTGTAGCTCACTGAACTTTACAAAACAATAATTCAATTTTTTTTTTGTTCAGGCAATTTTAGATCTCCATTGTGTTGGAGCTGGTTACTGGAAAGCTACATTCCTTTATTGGTGTTTGGTGGTGTCATATTTCCTTAATCATTCACGTTTTTCTAGCTTTGCAGTGGTATCTCCACTTTTGAAAGACTGACCATCTCTTCCAAACTTCATGAACTAGCTTCGATGGGGAAAGATCTTCACCTACAGTTGGATGCAATGGTGCTAGCTGGGTAGAGTATGGTAGTTTTGACTCTGTGATTGTTCAGCACTGTCTCTGACTCTGGGGAGGGCACACTGGTATAGCCTACATACAGTTCCATCAGCTGAATACTGCAGTGATCTTCAGAAACTAAGTCTCCAGGTGTCCACAGTAGTGACAAGACCTATTGGGAGTCCTCGGTGGTAAAGGCTACAGAAAGGTTGCTGATGAGAGCTGTGAACAATGCCAGAATTCTTGGCTTCCAGAGGAGAGAAATTTGATCTGGGGCCAGTGATAAGGCTTGATTGCTCAGAGCTTTTTGTGTAATAAAGTTTTATTAAAGTATAAAATAGATAGAGAAAGCTTCTGACATAGACATCAGAAAGGGACAGAGAGTGCCCCCTTGCTAGTTTTTACCAAGGAGTTATATACCTGTTAACAAGCTTCTAATTAGAGAAAGGAAACACCTCAAAACTGAGAGAGTTGCACCAGGCCCCTCACCCACAGCATGCTCTTTGAGATAGCCTTGACACAAGGTGAGTCATCCTGGGCCATAAAACAATTGACATTGCTTGAAAAAAGGCAGATTTCCAAGCAAATACCTAGCTCATTAACATAGCCTAAGGAAGACATTTCCATGAGAAAAAAGCATTGGTTAGCTCAAGGTTTGAGATAAAGTTAAGTTCAGGTGGTACCAGGTGTCATCATGACAACACAGAATTTGAAAAGAAAAGAAAAAAAAAAGTCTGTCACTTGCAGTTTTATTTCCTCCTGCTGCTTGGGGACATCTGCCCTCCCTTCCACAGCTATTAACACTCTCACTACTTGGATCTTTCTGTTCACTTTTTCCCCCATGGGGCAGAATTATGACTGAGAGCACTCCTCCTGACACTATGTCCAACATGTGGGTTCACATGTAGCTGTGTCTGTGATGCACAGAAATAGCTTTGGCTCCAGAATTATGTGGGCCACTCACTGCTTCAGTAGTGGTGGTGTCTCAGCAGAGGATCATCTCCTGTTGGGGGAGAGGATGCAAGTGGCAGCTATTCTGGTGGAAGTGGAGTAGCAGTGGCTCCTTCTGAGTAGGGGAGCCAGAGTAGAGTTGGATCCTTTTGCAAGGCTGCTTGGCAGCAGATCCTTGTGTAAGAGTATTAGTGCAACAATGGCTCCTTCCCTGGGAGAACAAAGAGGTGAAGTGTCTGTTGGGAAAGGGTGCTTCAGCAGCTCATTTTTGAGGAGTTAGGTGTTGATGGATCCTTTTGGGGGGAGCTAAGTGGCAGTGTCTCTTTGGTTGGGGAGTTGAAGCAGCTCTTTTGTGGGGTCATAAGGAACAGTTGTGGCTTCTTCTGGCGTAATGCAGAGCAGCACTGACTTCTTCTGGCAAAGGCAGCATTGATGGCTCCTTGTCAAATGGAGGGGGAAGGAGGGTAGCAGTTCTTTACGGATATGGGAAGGCAAGGAGTAGCAGTAGCTTCTTTTCAGGAGGATGCAGTGGTGATGGCTTCTTCTAGGAGAGTGGAGCAGTAAAAATTCCTTCTCTGGTGTGACATATCAGTAGTTACTCCTTGTGGAGCTGGAGGTGGGACAACTAAAGCTTCTTGGAGTAAGGACCAGTTGGCTGTGGCTCCTTGGGTTGGGGGACAAGGCAGTGGCTCTCTCTTGGGAGGAAGGAAGGGGAGGCTTTTCTTGAGGCTGATGTGATGGCTGCTCCTTCATAGAGTGCAGAGAAGCTACAGCTTCTTCTTGAGTTGTGGCAGAATTTTGGTGGTTCCTTCTTGTAGAGGTGTCAGAGAGGTGTGGACTCCAAGTTCAGTTGAAAGGTGAGTGTAAAGAAAGACAGTCTGGTAGTGAGGGCTGCTGGCATTCTCCTGCTGTCTTTTTCGGCCATGGGAATTATCTCTTGATTCCTAGCTGTGCCAGATTGGAGTGATGTGGGTAAGATACTTCTTACATTTACTTATTTGCCTATCTTCAATTATTTTGCCGCACTGGGTTGTTACACATTCTTTGTGTTTTGGAAGTCTCTCAGAGCTATTACATCGGCCTATAGTTGACTATTCCTTGTTTTGGTGGTTATTGTAGGGAGAAGTGAGTATTGGGATCCCCTTAGTCTGCTATCTTCCTGACATCACTTGTGAATAATCTGGTTTGTATAAAATATTCAGAATAATAAAACTATTGAGACATAAAGTAGATTAGTGGTTGTCCAGGGCTTGGGTGTGAGATGGATTAGAGAACGAGGCTAAAGAGTGCAGGGACTTTTTTAATGGTAATAATATTCCTAAAACTGACTGTGGTGATGATTGCGAAATTTTATGGATATACTAAAAATAATTGATTTGTACTCTTTACATGTGTGAATTTTTTGGTTTGAAAATACCTCAATAAAGATGTTATAAGATTAATATGATATCAGTTGGAAGATGGATTGAAGAGAGTCAGAGTTGTAGACATAGAAACAACTTAGGAAGTTTTGTATTAGTCCAGTCTTTAAAATAAGAATCTAAACTGGAGCGAAAATATCAGGAATTGGAAGGAAGAGAATATGGTTATAAAATATAATGTAGAGGTTCAATCAGTAAGACTTGCCATTTAGTTGGATTTTAAATGCATGAGAGTGGGGAGACAAAGTAAACTCAATTTTTGAATCTGGGTAATTAGGAAGATTTTTATGTCATCACTAGATACTGGGAGTACAGACTGAGTAATAGCATTTTTTTTCCAAAGGAGGAAAGTGAATTCATAACAATTTTAGTTTTTTATGTGTTGTCAGGTCAACTTTCAAAAAACATCCAGTATCTTTGATTTACAAAATTATGTTAACTTCATATATGCAGCATTGTGATTCAGTGTTTTGCATATTATTCTCCATTGTATGATATTATTAGATAATTATGATTCCTTGTGCTATACAGTATATTGTTGTAGCTCACCTATTTTATGCATGGTAGTTCATTTCTGTTAATCCAATTAAATACATAAATAAAAAATTCCAGTATATGATTGAAAGTTTTGAATTACAGCTTAATGACAAGAAAAATCTGGCTAACTATTTGAGCCATCAATACACAGAAATTAAAACTGACATCAGAAAGATGGCTGAAAGCTTCTGTAGGGAGCATATGGAAAAATAGGAGAAGAGGACTAGAGACAGAACCTTGAACAGCTGCATTTAGGAAGCATCAGCAGGAAAAGGAGATCAGAACAGAGTTAAAGAAGGAAGGACATGATAAACAGGGAGAACAGTAGCAGAGCTGCCTTACTAGAAGATTGGACCTGGATCTTTAAAGACAAGAACAGTAAAAGAGAAGCTGAGGGTATCCCAGGAGGGAGAAAAATAAAGTCACAAAAATAAAATGAATACTAGTATTAAAATGATGGAGAAATATCTTGAAGGTAGTGGGACTCACCTGCCACAGTCTTTTAAGGATACCTGGGAACTGGGAGACATTTCTGAGCTGGTCCAACTGGAGATTTCTGTTATCCTTTCTAGGTGAGGTTCTCACTTACCAATGGAACATTCCAGAGAGATCTGGCCCTGGTCTCAACGATTCTGCTTGTGTTTCTTGGATCTACTATTCTGCAGTGGATCCCATCAAGGTAAAGACAATATTGGCTTATTGGAGATGTCTCAGAAATGAGCAGACTGCATAGCAAAATGAAGCTATTAAACAGATGTGGTAAAGAGCCTAGTACTGAAGTCCAGAGACTGGAGGAAATTCCTCAAATCCCAAGCTTATTTTAATAGGTAGAAGGAGAGATAAAATGATTAGGTAGCACCCATGTTTGTTCTGAGGATTTTCTTCCCTGTTTCTTCTTCTTGGATAGTATAAGGCAGTATGTTATCACTTTAGGAACTTAGAATTGGTTGTCAAGAGATTGGGTTTCTAGCCCAAATTTGGTTCTGTCTTATCTTTGGGTTGACTTTGGGCAAGTCATTCTGTCTCATTCATTTCTCATCTGGAAAAAGCTAATCTGTGTAGCCACCCATCAACAGCCAGATGTCAGTAATCACTTATTGAGAGCCTACTACATTTTAGTCATTTTACCTGGCTCTTTTGATGATAAAAATATAAGATTCAGTTCCCATCTTAAAAGAGTGTGATCTATAATAGCTGTGGGGAACAGATGAATATAATCATAATATTAGCATTGAATATATAAAATATAAGTAAAATATATAATGAAGCTAGGTCTCTCCCTCATGGCAAGCTGATGTTTTACCAACTGAGCTACACGGGAATCCATATATACATACACACACACACACACACACACACACACACACACACATTTTAAACATAGCAGAGTGTTAGCAACTACTTAAAACTATTTAATGCGAAGTGCTATCGGAGCCCATGAGAGAGTGATTCATTCTGCTTGGAGGAGAGAATGAAAGGGAAACTAGAGAAGGCAATGTGATGATAAGTAGATGTACTTTGAGCTTTAAAAATGGAATCAGGGGTTGTGTGTAGTAAGATCCTTTCCTTCATTAAAAATATCTTTTACAAAAAAAAATGGAATAGTAGTATAACATAAGATAAGGGATATGGTGGAGGAGTGGGCATTACAAGGAAGAAGAAACAACCTGAGAAAAGGCACTGGGTTGTGAAAGTGATTGGTGGGTTTGGAGATCAATGAATATTCCAGCAGAGATAAATCATAGGTGAGCTAGCATATCTTACCTGCGCCCCAAGGTGGTTGTGAGGATGAATTCAGATAATATAGTTGAGCCTCTTATAAATACAAGGCATTACGATAAAGCGCTGAGGACACAGTGGGCTTGGATGTCAGCCTATCTCCCTGTACAGCACCTATTGCCCAGGAACAACTCCATCTGTTCATTCCTTCCCCATCCTCAGGACATGTACAGTGGCCTGGTGGGACCCTTGGCCATCTGCCGAAAAGGCATCCTGGAGCCCTACGGAGGACGACGTGACATGGACCGAGAATTTGCCTTGTTATTCTTGATTTTTGATGAGAACAAGTCTTGGTATCTGGAGGAGAATGTGAAAACTTATGGATCCCAGGATCCAGGCCGTGTTAACCTGCAGGATGAGACGTTCTTGGAGAGCAATAAAATGCATGGTCTGTAGAAAGAAACGTATCCTATTTCCAAAGAAATCTTACTGGTTTCATGGAGATATTTTTGGTAGGCCCATCACAACCTAAAGGAACATAATCTCTGAAAGGTTAGGAAGGTTGAATGGGGACACATTAGAAGGAATGTCTAGTACTACAGTATTATCTATAATGTGGTTCAAGTTAGATCAGGTGCTCAGAAAGCAGGAAGCTGACTCTATAAAGTTGCTGTGGTAACATGAACACATTTTAACCTGTTAGAGAGTGCAAGGCAGACATTTATGACCCTTAATGTACCTGGTGCCCTGGCTTATTAGGGCCTCTCTAGTTAAAAATTCTGAATTTAGTTTCTCAATATTATCTTATTTCCTTGCCACTCTGAATCTGAGATATGTTTTCTCAGTGGATTCTAATATAGATAAATGAAAGGCAGCTTGTATTTTAATCTATTTTTGAAACAATGGTTATATTTACAGACAGAAGGATTGGAGAGAGAGCCTCAAAGAGCAGCATACTGGGTTATATTACAAATAAGAACTTTTTTGATGCTCAAATGGATTTTGGAGGGGAATTGTGCACCCAGACCTTCCTTTGTTCTACAGATTTGTGTATCTTTAAACAATAGAGAAAATCTCAACTAAGAGGAAGAGTTTAAGCGCAGGGGAATGTAGTAGTGCAATATTTCTTTGATTTGACGGTAAATTGCAGCTTTGATAGTGACTCTACTGGAACTCAAAAGTAGTCTCTCTTTGTCACACAAATTATGGCTATGTCCCCTCGATGGAAATATGAGTGATTCACATTGGATCTGATGATTCACAGACTTTACAGAATGACTTTTTAGCTCCTCTCAAATCTGAGAAATAAATTGCCCAAAGCCAAATGGAATGAGGATACATATCTTGCTAGTGTAGGAGTTTGGCTAATGCTCATTTCCATCCGGTGTTTAAGTGTTTATTCATCCAACTCTTCAGGTATCAGTCTACCTCTCTATCAAGTATTTACTGAATAGTCTCTGAATGTTGGCATTAGAGATAAAAAAGTAATGTTGGAGTCTGAGGGAAAATAAATAAGACCCTTACTTCCCTTCTAGATTTCTGAACTAATTGAGAAAGAGACAGAGATGCTTAATTAAGATCAAATGTGAACTTACTGAGAAAGCTAGTTGCAAACTGAATTTAGTTTTATAGCAAAATGGGCCTGCTAATACTGCACCAACAATGGATAGATTTTCTGTCCTGTTATTGACATAGAGGAAAAAAAAAAAAGCCCTCCTTCTTTACAGTGGCAAAATCTTCCCCATGATGGAATAACAAATCCATTTGCACCACTTCCTGTGGGCTGATCTAAGAGAGAGAAGATTCAGAATGGGGCTGAGTTGAGTATATTTAGCTCCTTTCTCAAATAAAAAATTTGACTAGAGTAAATAGACAGGCTATAAATGTTCCTTCCATTATTTCCTCTCTTGGATGAAGAGTATAAATTATCTTCCCTCTATGAGAATATTAAAAGTGGACAAGTGTATCTTGGGTACGCTCTTGAAAGTGTGAATGAACACAGTGCTGAATGGTTTATTATCTTTAGAGCATGAGATGTGTCCTGGGAAGAAGCAGATTGGAAGTCCCATGCATTAATATAATTATTAATTCCAAGAATGTGACAAGTATTTTTTAACATATATTGTAGGATCAGGTGTCTGCTTGGTATTCTGAATAATACAAGTGCAGTATTATAGTATATACACTTATTTCCTGCTTACTAAAAACCTTCAACCTATTTGGGGATATGAAATTCCACAAATTAAAAGATAGATAAATGTAGAGGCAGTTTCTAGTGAGTTCCAAATAGTGATACAGATAGTACTGGAGGAGTTTAGATGTGGAAGGAGATGAAGCGAATGAGGGGTACTAAGAGGGAAAAGGTCAGGAAACTATTGTTAGAAGAAGTGAAAGTGTGACTGGGCTTTGAAAAGATGAGTAAAAGGAAGAATTTTTGAGAAGGAAGATCAGAAACATGAGCAAGAACACAAAGAACATGAATAAGGGACCAAAATAGGGGATGGTTAAGAAATTACCCTAATTGAAATATGTTAGATAGTGTTAGACACATCTGGGAAAGCTTGGGACTATATTTTGAAGGACCTTGTTGGTCTAAGGAGTCATGGACTTGATCTTTTGGGTGGGGGGCGGGGGCAGCTATTAAGGTATTTTAAGCAGCAGAATGACATGGTCATACTAGTTATTAGAGAGACCACTCTTATAGCACCAATTTGGGAGATAGATTAGAGAGGGACAAATGGAATAGAAAAGAGAGAAACTAGGAGGATACTGCTGTCATCAGAGATGATAGGGATTATCTTTATGGTAGTGGCAGTGTAAGTCAAAATGAAATATACAAAATGCTTTTTCTTCTCTTACAGCCATTAATGGAAAGCTCTATGCCAACCTCATGGGCCTTACAATGTACCAAGGAGAACGAGTGGCCTGGTACATGATGGCAATGGGACAAGATATTGACCTACACACTGTCCATTTCCATGCAGAAAGCTTTCTCTACCAGGTGAGCTGGAAAGAAGGCTGAGTCCCTCAGGGGTGATTATAGGAGTGATTTGATATCCATTAAAAAAGAAGAGAAAAGCAAGAAACAAGATAATAATCAGTTAAAAGATGAAAGGTATTGTACATGGAATATTGAGCAGAGAAATCTAGTTTGGGTTTGTATCCCAAGGTCAGTCATTGTCCTCCAAGCCTTATCTTTCCCCTTCGATATAGAAGAAACGAGTGGCTCCTTTATGGGATAAGAAGACCGAAGGAATAAATGTTATCAGATCTCAGTCAGGGGCTTGAGACCCAGTGAGCAGTCATCCTAAGAGCAAGAAATTTAAGAGAAGTGTGTTACAATCTCTAAAAGTCCTTAATCCATTCCTGAACTTCAATTTAGGAACCACATTGGACAACATGTGGGTTTTGAAGATTTTGTCTTAGGAAAAGGGGTTAGAGTTGTAGGCATTAACGAGTGGACTTGCTGACAAAGGGCCATATAGTCAAAACTATGGTTTTTCCAGTAGTCATGTATGGATGTGAGAGTTGGACCACAAAGAAGGCTGAACACTGAAAAATGATGCTTTCAGTCTGTGGTGCTAGAGAAAATTCTTGAAAGTCCCTCGGGCAGTAAGGAGATCAAACCAGTTAATCCTTAAGGAAATCAACCCTGAATATTCATTGGAAGGACTGATGCTGAAGCTGAAGCTCCAATACTTTGGCCACCTGATGCAAAGAGCTGACTCACTGGAAAAGACCCTGATGCTGGGAAAGATTGAGGGCAGGAGGAGAGGGGAGCAACAGAGAATGAGATGGTTGGATGGCATCACTGACTCAATGAGCATGAGTTTGAGCAACTTTGGGAGATAGTGAAGGACAGGGAAGCCTGGCATGCTGAAGTCAGTGGGGTCTCAAATAGTTGAACACAACTTAGTGACTGAATAACATAAAATATTTAGAAATGATGATAAAGGTAGTGGCATGGAAGATAAAGCAAACTGAGTTTTATTTCTAAAGGAAATACGTGGATCTTTCCTAGGGGTCAAGGCTTAAACCTGCTAAAATGTATGGCTATACTAGTTTTTAGCCCCCTAATGAGAGCTGGAATGGATTTTACTTTGGGTCACTTTGAGAAAAGTAGGAAGAGAGAGTCTCCTCTGTTGAGTCAGTTTGTATGGGTTGATTCATAGAGAAGATGGATAAGGTAGAATCTCCAAGCTGCTCTCTTGGAGTCCTATTTACCTAATGCGGACACCGAAGCCTTATACTTTCTATAAACTCTGAGATGATTGCTATATCCTTCATTTTTTCTCTCCCACCACCAATCTCTTTTGCAGAGTGGAGAGAGCTACCGGGCAGATGTAGTGGATTTGTTTCCAGGGACCTTTGAGGTTGTGGAGATGGTGGCCAGCAACCCTGGGACATGGCTGCTTCACTGTCATGTTACTGACCATGTCCATGCTGGCATGGAGACCATCTTTACGGTCTTGTCCCAAAGAGGTAAAGCCTAACTATGCCATCTTCTAGTGCTGTATCTAGTCCGTAAGAACCAGAAAAATTCCAAGAAGTCTCTTGCATCTGTCTTCTGATCCCAATAAGTAACAAGCTTTAAAACAGAACCGACCCCCTAGGTGTTCTCTCAACCTTGTTGCTCCTCCGCTCATACCTCCTAATTTCTTCAACATCTATTGAGCTCACATGAATTGACTCAGCCTGAAACTGACTGGGCTCTAGGCATTGATGTTTAGTATAGATTTGCTTCCTTTTAACACATTTAATTTGTATATAAATTTATTACTTTAGAATTTATTAGGTACTAGCTAGTTCAAGGAATGTTGTTAATGAGTTTTTTTTCCTAAAAGAAGAAATATAATTCCAACAGCTACCCCTTAATTGGTTTGTTTTGTGGAGACTGTCAAAGGCTGAAAAGAGATAATTAGCCTTCAACTACAACTAATCCCAGACAGATTCTACCAAGGGTGGTAAAAAGTTTTCCTGTATTTGTTATATGGAGAAGTAATAGCCAGGGTAGTTTCTTTACCAATCTTTATTCATCACCAAGAACATAGAAGAGTAGATTGTGTTGAATTTTGTGTCTTTGGGCCATTAAAGGGTTGAGTCTCACTTCTTATGCCTCTGAACCTGAATCCAGTACTCATCATTATTCCCCTCCCAAGAGGCCCAATAGAAACTCTTAGGGCCCACAGAAATTCAGGGAGGTATGTATGTATGTATGTATGAATTTATTTATTTATTTATCTATTTATCTATCTATCTATCTATTTATTTATTTAATGTCACGCTGTTTTGAAAACTGGTAATATTGAGAGGGACTTCCCTGATAGCTCAGTTGGTAAAGAATCCGCCTACAATGCAGGAGACTCTGGTTCAATTCCTGGGTCTGGAAGATCCCCTGGAGAAGGGATAGGCTACCCACTCCAGTATTCTTGGGCTTCCCTTGTGGCTCAGCTGGTAAAGAATCCACCTGCAATGCGGGAGACCTTGCTTTTATTCCTGGGTTGGGAAGATCCCCTGGAGAAGGGAAAGGCTACCCACTCCAGTAGTCTGGCTTGGAGAATTCCATGGACTGTATAGTCCATGGGGTCACAAAGAGTCGGACATGACTGAGCGACTTTCACTTTCACTTCACTTAATATTGAGGTAGGTATTCTGGGATTCCTTGCCACTGGCATTCTATCAGCATGAATAGAAAGTGGGAAAATGTCTTTAGGCATTCAAATAGGACTATCAAACCATGGTAGAAAATACAACTCTGCCATTTAACCCCAGGAGAGAAGACAAATGATTGTACATTATCATTTCCTATATCTTTGGAAAACTTTGTTCTCTGGTAACATACTGCTAGAATGTGTCTTCTAGCTACTGCTGTAGTACTACTACCTACCTCACAGACAAGCACATATAATTCTTTAGTGTGTTCTGTCAGTCCTTAGAACCAAAGTCAAGTAGTGAGTTGTTGTATCATCAAGATCCTATAGATCCAGAGAAATAGATTGTTTCCACGTGTAAAGGCAGGTCATCTCAAATATGGGCCATTTACTAGATAAGACACTGCATCAATACATGTCTTCAAGAACTTCCATAAACAAGACTAGCTCATATCTCTTTTTAATAATGAGCCAGTCCATAATTTAACCTATTTGCCTTTTGCTTGTTTGACACCTTATAGTCTAATGTGATATTGTTCCAGTTACATATGAGCTAACCAGGTCAACCAGAGAGAAGAGCTGAAGGCAGATAGGGAATAAAAGACTGATTGTTGGAAAAAGCTTCCTGTGGAAGAAGCAGGGAATGAAACCCGAAGCTACAATATAAGATTAGAGTGGAGTAAGGTCATTTTTCTACTAACAGGAGAGAGGAAAGGATCAATGTGTAGGTTTGGGTGAGAGGCTTGACAGAAAGGTAGACTATTTCTGTCTGATAGGCTGTGTTTCATCTGTAATGAAGTGAAAGACAGATGGGAGGGTAAGGGATTTGAGAAAAGTGGACAAAGATTTGAAATAACCACTCTTGGAAGTGGGGGCAAAAGTTACTCTGAGTGGTGGAAGATAAGTTAATTACTGCCAATCAGCTTCGAGGACTTAAATTTGTACCCAAAGAATACTTACTTATACTTAAAGAAAGAGAATACTTATATTTACAATTGTATGATGTTTCTCCACCAGCATTCAGGATATATATAAAAGAAAATATAATTACTGGGGCTTCAGCAAATGATTATAATGGTCCAGGTAAGTTAGTAGTTGAAGTGATAAACAATGGAGTTATTGACCAGGAATGGAAGGAAAAACAGGATGAAGCTGGTGAGTTGGGAAAAAAATTAAACTGTCCAAGAGCTAGAGCCCTTCATGAGAGGATAAAATAACAGGTTAAATGGAGTAAGTAGCAGTAGAACATAGAATAGCAGAGCATTGTTAGACATTTGAGATGAAGCAGTTATGCATAATTAGGGCAATTTGACCAGAGTTAGAGTATATTTGAAATTTGTTGGAGTTAAGAGGTCCAAAAACTGTGAGACTTGAGTGTTAGATAGGTCAATACCCGCAGTGGAAATTGAGGACAATAAAGACTGAGCCACATACCAAAGACTTCCATGAATGAAGAGAACTGCTGGGTAGCAGTGATAAGAAGTGGTTGTGTTTTTTTCTAGCCAAATAATGAGCCTCAAAAGACATGGATATTTGCAAAAAGGGGATGAATAATAAGTAATTTCAAGATAGTATTGAGAGGATGCAAAGGAAATATTGTCCTCAGAGAAGAGTTCAGACCCTGTAAAGCAAGAAGAGGAAGAAATAGTCAGAGAGATTTAATATATAGGGGTGGGTTTGACCAAGAGTAGGGGCTTCCTGAAGGAAAGCTGGAAAAGTGTGGCAAAAATAACAATAATGAAGATAACGTGCCAATAAATATGTAAGTATTGGTAGAGTGGTGATTTACCTTTTGGACTTCCAAGCCTATACACTTGTTCATATTTGTATCAGTGTTAAAAAATCAAATCCACATACCAATACTGACTTTGACTACAAGCTAGTTAATTCCAGTCACCTCCATTTTGCTTACGATATCACAGAGAGTTCCCTCCAGTCAATGCTAACCTCCTATAACAAGTCTGTGAATAGGTAGGAAGAATAATAGGACTAACCTCTTTTTTTTTCCCTCCAGAACACTTAAGCACTACCACCACCATCCTTGAAGAGATTGGAAAAGGTAGGGAGAATGACACACAGATTGGGTACTTATATATGTTGTGCATTCAGGGAAAGGTGCAGTGCCTCTAGAAAATGGGTTTCACATGACTGAAAGCTGTACCACAATGCTAACAGGAAGAACCCTGAGATTTATTTAAGACTTCAGATGCAAGAAATCTAAGGTTAAGCTTCCAGTTAAGCTTCTCTCAGCAGATTTATTCTCTGACCCCCATGCTCAACCACTTCAATTGAGGAAAATGGCCTCATCTCCAGTTGAAGGCTGCTATCTTAGCCTCTCACCTAATGTGTGAGGGGGAAGAAAAGTCAAGGTCTTTCTGAGTTGTGCATAAAGCAGCTATAGCATAGATATGAATTCCCCACAAGAACAGTGTGAAACTAAGACAAATACTATTCAATCTATGGAATACTAAATAGTTGACTTTTGGGACCAGCCATTCTACACTTCAAGAAACCAGAGATTCTTGTCCTATCCAGGCTAGGTTCAAATAATTATTTTACTTTCTTCCTCATTTGTATCTAAACTGAGAAATATTCAGAAAGTTATGAAGGTCTAGATCAGATGTTAGAGATCTTCAGTTCAGTCTGGAAATTTTTCAGGTCTATTTGGAAAACACCTGATGACCTGCCTGGGCTTCCCAGGGGACTCAGTGGTAAAGAATTTGCCTGACAGTGCAGGAGATGCAGGTTCAATCCTTGGTCTGGTAAGATCCCCTGGAGAAGAAAATGGCAACCCACTCAAGTACTCTTGCCTGGAAAAACCCCATGGACAGAGAAGCTTGGAGGGCTACAGTCTATGCGTCACAAAAGTTGGACACAACTTATTGACTGAATAATGATCTGCCTAAGTATCTTATAAACAGTCAACCAGGAAACTAGGGTATGTTCTCCAGGGGTTAGGGGGTGGAAAGGTGACGCAGAGAGAGCAGAGTGCCATATATATATGTGTATGTATATACATATTTGCAGGCTTTCCTGGTTACTCAGACAGTAAAGAATCTGCCCACAATGTAGGAGACCTGGGTTCAATCCCTGAGTCGGGAAGATCCCCTGGAGAAGGAAATGTCAACCCACTCCAGTATACTTGTCTAGAGAATTCCATGGACAAAAGAGCCTGGTGAGCTACAGTCCACAGGGTCACAAAGAGTCAGACATGACTAAGTGACTAACACACACACACACATACATGTTTTGTACATACATTTGTATATACATTTGTACATACCAGTATGTACATACAAGCATACATCTTCATAAGCTCTTGCTTGTTTTAAAATGTTGAACAGTGAGAAAAACCCCTCAGAACTGGTGATCTACAGAAGTCCAATATTTTCTACATGAGAAACTGAGAGATGGAAAGTGATTTTTCCAAGGTCACAAGAGAAGTAAGTAAGTGGTGGAATGTGATCTCAAGACCAGGATGTTTCCCAGCTTCTGATTGAATTCATTTTATTACATCTTCTCTCAGTTCTGTAAGAATATTGATTCATCCAATTATACATTCATCAAACATATGCTGACTGCCAGAGACACCAAAATAATAAGACATAATCACTATTTTCAAGGAGATTCAAAGTAGAATGAGATACAAAAACAATAATTGTAGTTCTGGATACTATATGTTATTTCTAAAGGTGGGGAAAATAGTAACAACTGATCAATTATTGTGCATTTGCTATCTTCCAAGAACTATGTTGAATATTTGTAACTATTAATTCAAACCTCACAATAAATATTAAAATTAAGCATAGTTACTATCCTCATTTTATAAAAGAGGAGACAGAAATCCAGAATTGAGTGTGGCTTGGGTCAATTGGCCCAAGCAAGTAAACTGTTGGATTACAAATAGTACAGGTGCTTTGGGCACACCAAATAGAGGACTATCACTTTTTTTTCTAAGTTGTGGGGTGTGCATTTTAATATTTTACATGAATATAACCAAAACTGAGACATGTCTAGCTGAATTGAAGAAAGTTTTGCTGAGACCTATAATGTTTAAGCTGGGGATAGAATGGCAAGGAAGAAGAAAAGCTGTTCAGGTGAATGAGCAGCATGAGAAAATCTTGAAAGCCTGAAAGAAGGCTCACCTATTCTGCAGAACAAGGAATTAGTTGTTATGGCTGAAGAGTAGCAATTAAGAGTAGGATAGGTTAGAACCTGATTGTGAGAGTTGGAATGTCTGATTTGAGTCTGAGCCTTACTCCATGGGCTAATTGGGGATCATCAAAAGTTCATATGCTAGGAACTAAGAAAATTAGATATTTCACCTAGAAATATCAGTATGACATCAGTGTTATAATGACTCAAACATGCAAGAGACCAGACAGAACAGTGGCAGGCTCTTATCATGGCCCAATTGTAAAAGTGAGTATTGATAAGCTAGATAACTAAGTCAAACTGCATTTCAGGAGATTCTACCTACTACTACTAGTTCTACCATCTGAAGCCATGCAAACCAATTCTTTTTTTGCTACATCATAAGCCTTTATATATTTTAAGAAATATGTCAAGGCCCTTCTCACTCTGAGTCTTAGTTCCTTCAATGGGGGCATTGGAGCTTCAGAGCTTCCTAAGGATTTTCTCAACTATGGCATTTTGTTACATTGATTCCCTGTAACCTTAGTCTATCATCATTGGCTGATCTTTTGAGGTTTAAAAAAGTTCTTCTATCCTATTTGAATGAGCTTATTTCTTCTCTTCCAGGGTTGATTATAAAATATGCCTTTTAAAAGTACTCTCTATCCCATGGTTCCCATTTTCCTCTTGTTCTATTTCAGTAGCAATTCCCAGAGACATTGGAGAAGGCAATGTGAAGATGCTGGGCATGCAGATCTCTATAAAGGATATCGAGATGCTGACTTCTGTCTTGATTGCCATGGGTATCATTCTCCTGCTCATTGCTCTGGTTCTTGGCGGTGTGGTGTGGTACCAGCATCGTCAGAGAAAGTTACGGCGCAACAGGAGGTCCATCCTGGATGACAGCTTCAAGCTTCTGTCTCTCAAGCAGTAACAGCTGGATCTTGGAACTGACCATCTGGAATATACTCTCAGCAGGCTGTGGACAAGGAACTGACATACATTTAAAGGGTATGGGTTGTAGAAAAGGCAAAGGAAGGAATCAAACTCATCTGAGTATTTCTTCACTTATTTATTTCTGTGGAAATTGTGTTCTTTCTTTTTCTTTAGTTTCTTTGTTCCACTTGGGCACCTGGGGCTAAGTCCCCTAGAATCTCTCATCACAAATTTCAACAGCTAGATTATATCACCCACTGACAATTGGAAGATCTGGTAATTACCAAATATGGAAACATTTTCTCATAAAGTGATGCCAAAAGTAAGGTTCATTAAGTTTATTAAGGTTCATTAAGTTCATTAAGATTAAGTCGCTACTGCTTTCCAGAACTTAGGGAAGTTTATTCTGAACAGAGGCTAAGTGAGCTGTGACAATAATCCACATCTAAAGACTAAGAACATAGTGTAACGGGGAATGAGTAAGGTAAGATTTAAAGATCCAAATTGTATTTTTACTTTTCTTGAGGGTGGACCATTTTTGTTAAGTGGGTAAATGCAATATTGCTGTCAAGAGCAGCTACAACCTCTGGAGACAGAAACTCCTCAGGAAGCTAGTATTCCAAGTTCTTGGTACAGTTGCACTGAAGGGAATGTTAAGTGTCCTCTCCATGCTTTCATCAGAAGATTCTACATATTAAAGTGCTTGTTATGACACCATAAGAGTGAACTTGTTGATTTTGATTGTCTCTGTGGTCTCTTGAAGGTTGTGACTATTGCTGAAAGAGAGCACTCGGTGAGACTGGTGGAGGTGGTTAGGGGTGGGCATAGAATGGGTCTGACTATCCTTTGTGTATGTTTCAAGTTTGTGTTTGGGAAGTGAAGAAACTGTCGCAGAGGAGACCTCAAAATCCAAAAGTGGATTTTTGGCATAAGTGCCAAAAATATCCTAGATGCTAGGAAATGTTGCCAGAGGGAAATAGAAGACTAAAACTAGGTTCAAACTTTTACACTGGGCAAGGAGAGGAGGGTATAGATCTAGTGAGCTCTTTTGGTAGCTGGGGATATGAGACGTCTACTTGCAATTTTGAGGGCCTCTTTATAGGGTCGGGAAGATCCCCTGGAGAAGGAAATGGCAATCCACTCCAACACTCTTGCCTGGAAAATCTCATGGATGGAGGAGCCTGATAGGCTACAGTCCATGGGGTCGCAAAGAGTTGAACACGACTGAGCGACTTCACTTCGCTTTTATAGGATAGAGTCCTTCCTCTGGTAATTTAAAGCAATATTCCTTTGTCACAAGTTCAAGCCTCTCTAAAACCTTGGTCAGAGAACACAGAAAAGAGATAGAGTAGGGATGGGATAAGCTGGCCCATTCTTACTATGGTATCCATTATACCGTTTTACATGACAAATAGAGAATGGGAGAAGCATCAGGAAAATGAAAACAATAACTGAAATGCATTGTGCTTTATATTTTACAAAGCATCTGATACCTAATTGCATTTGACTTCCACTAGTTCTATCAGGGTGACATTTTTGCTGTACTTTTAAGCAAGCAAATGATAAGAGAAAGTGATTTTTACCTCAGGCCATTCAGCTAAAAATTGAGGATTCAAGCCTTCACCTATTTAACTCCAAATATCTGCTTCATCCTTCCGTATCATGGGAAGTCCACTAATCTCCATCATTCATTATCCATATTGAATCCAACTTCTCTCTGTCTTCCCAGCAAACTTATCTGCCAAGTTAGCAACCCTTTGAAGATTAAGTGTAGAAACCCACAGAAATGGTGTTGAGTTGCTAAATAATGTTGAAAGTTGGATGGTAAAACACAGGCCAGAGTCTATCATTCATCTTGGTTTACTATGATCAATGGCTCTGTGACAGATTTTACTGGAAATCTCAGAAACAGATCGGGGGTAAAGGTGGGAGAATATTTGGACTGTTAGTGATAAAATCAAATTAGGGTATTTTAGCCATTGCATAATCAATGAAATTAACAACAGAACTCTGTTGGTGTACTGTTATCATGAAGGTTATTGAAAACCCAGTCCACTCTGGGAACTCTACTCAATTATTAGCTGTAATTTGTATGCAGCTGGAAGGTTGTTATCTTGGTCTCAGTCATGAATCTGAGACTGAGAGGGTAACAGGCAGGAAGGCCAGGGGTCTCCAAACGGAGGAAATAGGCTGCAAGTGCCAGACATTTTTATCTCTCTTAAGTGGCAGGAGGAAAAAAACCAGCGATATATTTTTTCTTCTCTATACAAATTTAAAAGGAAGTTTCTCTTAAAATGCTGTGTTGCCATGACACCTGGTTTCACCTGAAGCTAACTACTCTCAAACCTTGAGTTAACCAATACATTTCTTTTCCTTATGGAAATGTTGTCTTAAGCTATGTTAATGTACCCCAGACTCTATCTTCAAGTTGGTTCCGCCAAATGGCCTAACTTACTTACTCAGATATTGTTCCCTAATCTATGTAAATGAAACTATTTGTTGGTAATCTGCCCTTCTACAAGATTCAAGTCAATCGTTTTATGGCCAGGGATGAATTATCTGGTGCCATCCTAAATTCTAAGACATTCCTTTCTTTTCATTAACAGACTGTGAGTGACTATATATCTTACAGCTAAAGACTAGGAGGGGGGGTATTCTTTCTGCCCCCTTCTGATGCCTATGTCAGAAGCTTTCTCTATCTCCTTTATACTTTAAAAAAACTTTATTACACAAAAGCTCTGAACGATCCAGCCTGGTCTCTGGCCCCGGATTGAATTCGTCTCCTCCGGAGGCCAAGAATCCCGTTGTCTCATGGTTCAGCAACAACCTTTCAAGACAAAGAGAAATAGGTGGGATGGAGATACATTTCTTCCGAGTGTGTAATCCTGCTCCAGATTGAGGAATATAAGCTAAAGTCCATATATTTCAGAAAGGGATACATTTGTTTATTTTTTTGTGGTGGGTTTGCTTCTTGTGGGGATGGAGAAGATGTTTTTAACAATTAAATGGTACTTCCATCCATTCAATTGCTCAAGTCAAAAATCCCCAAAGTCTGCACATCAGTAAATCTTGTTTGTTTTTCCTACAAAATAACTTTAATTTGTTCATTTGTTTCTATCTTCACTGCTACTACCCCAGACTAAAGCACAGCCATCTGTTACCTGGACTTGTGTGGTATCCTCCTTGCCTTACATTCACTCTGTGTGTGTGCTAAGTCACTTCAGTTGTGTCTGACTCTGTGAAAACCTATGGACTATAGCCCTCTGGATTCCTCTGTCCATGGAATTCTCCAGGCAAGAATATTGGAGTGAGTTGCCATGCCCTCCTCTAGGGGATCTTCCCGACCCAGGGTTTGAACCTGTGTCACAGAAAACTGATGGTTGAAAAGCATAAATTGGACTTCCAGTTTTGATGAGCTACCATAGACATCTCTCTCTGGTGATAAATAAACACTGGAAATAAAAAAAAACAATGATATAAGGACTAAAAAAGATAGAAAAGAAGAAGGCAGCCTGGAGGAGAACAGAGAAGCACAGTAACAGGGCATCTTTGCAGCCCCCCAAAAAAAAATTCTAGTGAAAACCCCAGGTGGATTTGGGGACTCTGGAATGAGGGACTGGGGAGGAGCCTTGCTTAAGTCAAGTAGTCTTGGAAATTGCTCTTCATCTCTATTGGCCAGAGACTTCCCTCCTCCAATTAGACATGAGAAAGAAACAGTAAGGGGAATCTCAACATAGCAAATTTCAGCCCAAGAAGTACTGTTTGTGCCTGCAAGATGGAGAATTCCTTTTCCTATTTAGAGACTATAAGTAGCCCTGGCAGAGATCAACAGGAGCCTTAGTGACACCAGAGAAACCAAGCAAAATAGAAAAGTAAAGCAAAGTCTCTGAAAGTTGCATAGCCATTTTAACACAAAATCATGCCAGTACTTGTGCTAAACACAAACAGGGTTATTGCCTCATAAAATAGATTGTTTTAATATGGTTCAGAGATCCATCATACCAAGAGCCAGGAAAATCACAACTTGAATGAGAAAAGAAAATGTATTTTATGGGTATCCCCTCTGTGGGCTGTGTGTGTCCTGTTGTGGTGGATCTGATTACTGTGAGGACACTGGTAGGTAGGACTCTTCTCTTGTCCAGTTGGTTGCCAGGCACTGTCTTGTGCAGGGTCTTTGAGCCACTTGTGGACAAGGCCATGTCCTGGTATGGCTCTGTTCACAGTCAGGGGGTCCAGGTCTTGACACTGAGCCACAGACAGGTTGTGGCCATGTCACAGGGTAACTGGCTACTAAGCCCCAGGGGGATCTCAGAGCTAGTGCTGGTCCACCAGTGTGTATGGCCAGGTCCCAGGATGGCTGACTCTGGTGTCACGAATCCCAGAACAAATGTTGATTGGCTGCTGGGTAGGGCCAGGCTCAGGATATCCTGGGTACTATTGGCCTGCTAGAGAATGGGATGGATATTGACACAGCTAGATGAAAGCCTGCTGAAGTCCCAGGGTGGTGCTCATACACAAGTAGTGAAGCTAGATCCTGGGTCTAGTGCTGGTAAACCGACTTTCAGACTGCAGTCTCGGGTCCCCGGCTAAAGCCAGGGGCTCCCAGAGATGGTGTTCGCCCAAGGGCCCATGATGACCCAGGGCAAATGCTAACACACTGGTGGATGGAGCTAGGGATTTAAGTCACTCACTGCAGGGCCCTGGTAGTCCTGGAGTTGGTATAGGTAGGTGGACAGGGCAAGGTACCAGGGAATCCTTGGGCTGGTGCCAGGCTACTGGTGATTACACTGTGTCTTATCACAGCTGCCTGCAGGGCCTCATTGATCCAAGGGCTAGTGCCTGCCTGCTGGTGGGTGAGGCCTGGTGCCAAGTTTAGTGCCAGCATTCAGTTAAGTTCAGTCCCTCAGTCTTGTCCGACTCTTTGTGACCCCATGAATCGCAGCACGCCAGGCCTCCCTGTCCATCACCAATTCCTGGAGTTTACTCAAACTCATGCCCATCAAGTCGGTGATGGCATCCAGCCATCTCATCCTCTGTTGTCCCCTTCTCCTCCTGCCCCCAATCCTTGTCAGCATCAGGGTCTTTTCCAATGAGTCAACTCTTCGCATGTGGTGGCCAAAGTATTGGAGTTTCAGCTTCAGCATCAGTCCTTCCAATGAACACCCAGGACTGATTTCCTTTAGGATAGACTGGTTGGATCTCCATGCAGGCCAAGGGACTCTCAAGAGTCTTCTCCAACACCACAGTTCAAAAGCATCAATTCTTCAGTACTCAGCTTTCTTCACAGTCCAATTCTCACATCCATACATGACCACTGGAAAAACCATAGCCTTGACTAGACGGACCTTTGTTGGCAAAGTAATGTCTCTGCTTTTGAATATGCTGCCTAAGTTGGTCATAACTTTCCTTCCAAGGAGTAAACGTCTTTTAATTTCATGGCTGCAGTCACCATCTGCAGTGATTTTGAAGCCCAAAAAAACAAAGTCTGACACTGTTTCCGCTGTCTCCCCATCTATTTTCCATGAGGTGATGGGACCAGATGCCATGATCTGGTGAGCATTAAGTCAACTTTTTAACTCTCCTCTTTCACTTTCATAAAGGGGCTCTTTAGTTCTTCTGCACTTTCTGCCATAAGGGTGGTGTCATCTGCATATCTGAGGTTATTGATATTTCTCCCGGCAATCTTGATTCCAGCTTGTGCTTCTTCCAACCCAGCGTTTCTCATGATATACTCTGCATATAAGTTAAATAATCAGGGTGACAATATACAGCCTTGATGTACTCCTTTTCCTATTTGGAACAAGTCTGTTGTTCCATGTCCAGTTCTAACTTGCTTCCTGACATGCATACAGGTTTCTCAAGAGGCAGGTCAGGTGGTCTGATATTCCCTCTCTTTCAGAATTTTCCACAGTTTATTGTGATCTACACAGTCAAAGGCTTTGGCGTAGTCAATAAGGCAGAAATAGATGTTTTTCTGGAACTCTCTTGCTTTTTCGATGATCCACCGGATATTGGCAATTTGATCTCTGGTTCCTCTGCCTTTTCTAAAACCAGCTTGAACATCTGAAAGTTCTTGGTTCACATATTGCTGAAACCTGGCTTGGAGAATTTTGAGCATTACTTTACTAGCGTGTGAGATGAGTTCAATTGTGCGGTAGTTTGAGCATTCTTTTGGGATTGCCTTTCTTAGGGACTGGAATGAAATCGGACCTTTTCCAGTCCTGTGACCACTGCTGAGTTTTCCAAATTTGCTAGCATATTGAGTGCAGCACTTTCACAGCATCATCTTTCAGGATTTGAAATAGCTCAACTGGAATTCCATCATATCCACTAGCTTTGTTCATAGTGTTGCTTTCTAAGGCCCACTTGACTTCACATTCCAGGATGTCTGGCTCTAGGTGAGTGATCACACCATTGTGATTATCTAGGTTATGAAGATCTTTTTTGTACAGTTCTTCTTTGTATTCTTGCCACCTCTTCTTAATATTTTCTGCTTCTGTTAGGTCCATACCATTTATGTCCTTTATCAAACACATATTTGCATGAAATATTCCCTTGATATCTCTAATTTTCTTGAAGAGATCTCTAGTCTTTCCCATTCTATTGTTTTCCTCTATTTCTTTGCACTGATCACAGAGGAAGGCTTTCTTGTCTCTCCTGGCTATTCTTTGGAACTCTGCATTCAAACGGGAATATCTTTCCTTTTCTCCTTTGCTTTTCGCTTCTCTTCTTTTCACAGCTATTTGTAAGGTCTCCTTAGTCAACCATTTTGCCTTTTTGCATTTCTTTTCCATGGGGATGGTCTTGATCCTTGTCTCCTGTACAACGTCACAAACCTCCGTCCATAGTTCATCAGGCACTCTGTCTATCAGATATAGTCCCTCAAATCTATTTCTCACTTCCACTGTATAGTCATAGGGGATTTGATTTAGGTCATACCTGAATGGTCTAGTGGTTTTCCCTACTTTCTTTAGTTTAAGTGCCAACATACTGGTTGGCAAAATCGATCCTGGGGTCTCCTGCTATGGGACCTAAAGTTTCTGGAGCTGAAGTTGTCCTACTGGTGGGTGATGCCAGGATTCAGGGGGTCCTGGGGCTTGTGCCCAGTCCCTGGTGGATGATGCTGGATTCCAGGTATAGTAATGATCCACTGGTGGGGGAGGGGGGTCATTCCTGGGTCCTCTGGTGGGTAAGTCCAATTCTGGAAAGGCTTGGTGTTGAGGATCCTACAGAAGCTGACCTGCTGGTGAGTAGGCCTGTGTTGCTACTCAGCTAGCTGCCTGACCTAGAGTG